CCCCCCCCCCCCCCCTTAAATTATAAATTTAATTTCAACCTTTTCTTATTATTAAGAAAAAAAAAACCCTATTTTTCTTGTTTGTAAAAAAACAAAATATAAATATAAACACGCATTTGCTTATATTAATATTTGAAACTAATATTATTTTGAAAGAAAATGAGTCATAAATTTAATTATATTGATTTTTTTCTTTTTTGCTCAATTAATTTTTGTGGGTATTGCAAGTCGGGGAGGATGAAAAATCTTTATATAAAGGGTCGACCCTTTATCGCCTCTCATGCACTTCAAACTCCCATCTCTCTCTCTCTCTCTCTCTCTCTCTCTCTCTCTCTCTGCAGCTAGAAGAGAAAAATTACTGAAATGGTTTGCTTTTGTTTTCTCGTGGATCAGACTCGTCAGGTGCGGCGGAGCAAACCGGCGGCTGGATTTTGTTCCCGGTGCGGCGGCGGGGCCAGCGTCGCCGACATGAAGACCGCCACTAGATTCTGTTCCGTCCCATTTTATTGGAGGTCTTGGAGAGCCATTATTTGCACTTTCTGTGGAGCTATTATCAGATCATATCGCTGAAGCGCCTCTAATGTGATTTAGATTATTATCAAAACTTAGCTTATAGCTTGTCTAATGTCCGATTAACATTTCTTAGCCATGATTTCAATGGTGTTCATATTCCTTTTGATTTTTCTACTGTTTAGACCCTTACCCACCTGGATTTTCCCCCCTTAAAACAGGAAAAATGATTCAAAATTAATTAAAAATTTGTGTAATGGAGGAAGATCTCAATGAATGTGGTGCTGAAAATGGAAGAACAGAAATTGATAATTCAATGTATGTTCTAAGTTCTGTCGGATACAAAAAATTGATATGTAATAATGGTATGGGCGACCAGAAATTAATGAAATTTAAAAAGATTTCAGCTTTCTACATTTATTTGGGTAAATTTGGTGGGTTTAAGTATTCAATGTTTTCTCCAAAATATCACTTTTTTCCGAATTTTCTGCTGTCATGTTCTTACGTTCTTGAGAGTCCAAACTCACCATTAGCCTCACGGTTTTAAAACATGTTTGCTAGAAAGATGTTTCCTCACCTTTATAAGAAATACTTCGTTCTCCTCTCTAACCAATGAGGGTATAGAAACCTCTCCCTACTTGGAGAGGAGAAAGGGGGTAGAAACCTCTCCCTAGTAGTCTCTAACCAATGAGGGTATAGAAACCTCTCCCTACTTGGAGAGGGGAAAGGGTGTAGAAACCTCTCCCTAGTAGACGTATTTTAAAACCGTGAGACTAACTGCGATGCGATACGTAACAGGTCAAAATGGACAATATCTATTAACGGAAGAATGAAAGTCAAATTATCAAATTGTGTTTGTTAGCAGAGAATTGAAGGTTTTGTGTGTTACTTATTCATGGAATGTCACATACTTTTGCCCCACAACAGAGTTTATATAGGAAGAATCAAAAGTGAGAAAGCTCTTATCCACAAAGAATATTCCATTCCTATTTGTAAAAGTAGGCAGCTTCCTGGCCGAAGAGAATTCCAGCTTCCAGCTGCCTCTCATTTATGATGAATTGGTCGTTTTAGCACAGAAGAAGAGACATGTTTTCTGCGCTATACCTTTCACTTTGCTTCAACACCCTCATTTCCTACCCAACCACTGCATTCAATATTCCCACCTCTATTCAACCACTTTACTCTTAATACTCATTCTGCCTTTTCATCACAAGTTCAAAGCTCTGCATATTGCAGTGACTTCGACTTGTTTTCAAGTTCTAATCGCCATTAATAATCCCCGTTAAGACACACAAAACAGGCCATGAAAATCGCATGCCAATACGTTGTTATGTTAATGTCACACAAACTCATCATAGAAAGGCAATAGAACTACTGAATCTAAATGTACTGCTATAATGGTCAGTAAAGACATTAAATAAGGCCGAGTTTAACCTGATATTTCTCTTCTTGGATGTCCTTGAAATGTTGTATGAGAAGAGCATCATACAAAGAAATGAAATGGGAATAATCAGGGCAGAAGAATTGTTCTGCAGAATCAAGCGTTTGCGTTCCTTGTGAAGTCGATGCAAGTCTGGCAGCTGCATTCTGAAAAACGACAGATATCACACCCGAAGCAGACGCAGGAAGTGCAGCCCTTGCACGTTGGCGAACGGCTGCATCCCCTATAAACCCTCCGACTCGCTCGTTCTTCATCAGTGTCACATGTTATTCTGCAAAACAAAAAGGAGTAATACATATGATGTTTTTTAAGACCGGCTCAAGCAAGTGTAATGCAATCTCAAAGTTATACGTACCTGTCATATGGTAGATCAGCACATGTCCAATTACTATCAGCCAATGCATCATGGTGTATTCGGCATTCCTCTTCTGTTCTAAGTCGAAATCTGCGTTCCTTGTTGCATCTACTACATCGAACAAACTCATCACGATGACAGACTCGTCCGCTTTGGGATCTACTGGATCCATTGCTGCTTTTTAGCGCCTGGTTGTAGTACTTGAGGAGCACAGTCTTGTAGAGTGGAACCTTATCTCCATCAACTATGACCCAAACATTGTTCTTCCATTTTCGAGCCGTTTCTCGTCCGGAGTGCTTCTCAAATGCAGCAGGACTCAACTTGTCTAGTCGTCATGTTATAATTCAAATTAAGAATACGGAACAAGAATTAAGATCATACAACAAATATTAAGACTTACGAGGATCATCTCAAATATTACCTCATCCATAAAGCAGAGTAATCAAATAAGAAAAACATGCCCGTTTGCCATCATTTACAACCAATCTGATTTATACTGATAAGATAACAAATCCATGCAAGGACCTTCAACTTTAAGAATTTCCACATGAGAGAGGCATCACTAATACAACACTAAGATACTATCTTTAACGGCCCAAGCCCACCACTAGTCGATATTGCCCGTTTTTGCTCGTTACGTATTGCCGTCAGCCTCACAGTTTTAAAACGCGTTTGATAGGGAGAGGTTTCCCCACCCTTATAAGGAATGTTTCGTTCCCCTCTCCAACCAATGTGGGATTTCACAATCCACTCTCCTTAGGAGCCCAACGTCCTCGCTGACACATCGCCCGATGTCTGGCTCTCATTTGTAACAGTCCAAACTCACCGCTAGCAGATATTGTCCGCTTTGACCTGTAACATATCGTCGTCAGTCTCACGATTTTAAAACGCGTCTGCTAGGGAGGGGTTTCCACACACTTATAAAGAATGCTTTGTTCCCCTCTCCAACCGATGTGAAATCTCACACTATCTTTAGCTTATCTGGTCCATCCTTCATATGACGGTTAACAACCAACATATCAAAATTGTATAACGAACTGACCCGAAAGATAGTGGATCTTTACAAGCTTATGCTTTGTGTTCTATATCTGGATGGATCTTAACATAATGATCTATTTAAGGACTTTCCTCCGGTGTTTGCCTGTTCATGTCCTTGACGACCAGATACACAATCATGAACAAGAACGAAGCTCTCATATCCTTAAGTGGAACGCATTATTGTGTCAAGACAAGATGAAAAAATAAATTTCACCAAATAGAATATCATAAAATAAAAGCAGCCATGGATAACCAAAAGAAGTAGTGTGCTACTATGATCGATCTACCCAACAAGAAAGTAAAAAACAGAACCTTAGTACCAAAAACCTAATACAAGAAGCAACTGTAGAGCACTCCGGACCATAAACTAGTGTGAGATCCCACATCAGTTGGTGAGGGGAACGAAACATTCCTTATAAAGATGTTCAAACCTCTCCCTAACAGACACGTTTTAAAACCTTGAGGGGAAGCCCGAAAGGGAAAGTCCAAAGAGGACAATTTCTGCTAGTAGTGGGCTTAGGCGGTTACAGATAGTATCAGAGCCAGACACCGGACAATGTGTCAACGAGGATGCTAGGCCCCTAAAGGGGTGGATTGTAAGATCCCATATTGGTTGGAGAAAGGAAGGAAGCATCTCTTATAAGGATGTGGAAACCTCAAGGATGTGGAAACCTCTCCCTACTAGACGCGTTTTAAAACCTTGAAGGAAAAACCCAAAGAAGACAATATCAGATAGTGGTAGGCTTGGTCTGTTACAACTAGACAACATTTCCATTATTTCATAATGAATTTGAAAATACCGACTTGAAGCTACCAAGAGAGTAAGTTTGGGATGACTTTTTAAACACTTTTTTTTTTATGAAGAACTTAGGATAATCATTCCAAACAAATTCTAACAAGTTTTAACAAGAAATTCTCAAGAACTGGCACATGAATCATTGAAAATTGGTAAAAATGAAACCATACGTGTTTCTTGCTCTCCACTGTCAAAAATTGATGAACAAAACACACTTGAAACGTAAAACTCCCCATCCGTAGTACTACCTCTCTTATCCTCTTAAGACCCTAACCCTATCCACAGCCCCAATGAATGCAGGGACAGAAAGTGACAGCCATTAACGTCAAACCTCATTTTTCAAATCCATGACAAGACAAACACAAGGACAAACCCACCAAAGCATGCATAAAAATCAAAACAGAACTGAGAAGAACAAAGAACGAAGAACTATATCTTGAATCTCATCACAAGAAACCCCATAAAAATCGAGTAAAGAAGTCAGCTATCATAAATTCAAGATATGTTAATGCATACTGAATATGAGAGAGGGAGAGAGAGAAACCTTCATGACAACCAGGAGTGCATTCACAGGTGATTTCAAGTTCACCATTAACAAAAACCCTCAACCTTCCAACAGAATCGCCATATCGATGACTGGTACAGCCACAAGTGACCTCCACAAAGTCTCCACCGAACTTAACCCCACTCATCTCACTCAACTCCTCACAAGAAAACAACACGAGCCCATTTTCATCCACCCCACTACCCATTTCCCTCTCTAATCTCCGATTAACTCTGTAAATCACAAATCCAGATTGAACACAGAAACGATATCGGAGAGAAATCGCGGAAAACAAAAAGAAAACCCAAAAAAAATCAACTAAAAAACATGGGGTTTTATTGGAAATAGAAAGAATCTCGATACACGCTCATATTGAACGCGTTGCGATAGATCTCGTGGAAAATTAAAGGGTTGGGGGCGTTGGAGGGATGGAGGGATGAATGAATTTGAATGAAGAAATGAGAGACCTGGGTATAAGGGAAGGCAATGACGTGTGCGGAAGGGGCTTATTCTTATGCCCTTCTTGCATGATATGATATGACATTGGACACAACACACAGCGAGAGAGAGAAACTCGGGGGCCGTCATGCCTTTGCTTTGCTAATTCTTCGCTTTTTTTTTTTTAATCATAATATTTCTAATTATTTTATTCTAATCATTTCATTTTCAAAAATTTATTTATTTCAAGTAGTACATATTTTATTGTTATTATTATTTTTTTTTTGAATGGATAATTTATTTATACATAAAAATGATATGAAACCCATTAGCTAGAAAAGCACTTTTGTTGGTTGATGCCATTCAAATGCATTATTTTGTGCATGATTTAAATATTTATGATTCCTCCTTCCTTTATTCTGGAAAGATTTGCTGCCACTTTTAGTCGTAGTGGTGTCGAGCTAAGCATAAGAAAATTGTATACTTTTGAAGGTGGGATATTCCTCTATTATATTGACTCCACCCGACACTTTCTTAGGGTTCACATTAGAGGGGAGTGCTCGAGATGGGGGGTTGAGGAATGAAAACTAGGGGTCAAGGTAGCTAAGGAGAAAGCCAAGGCAGTCGAGGAGGCTATCTTTAAGGAGTTTCCTTCCTACGATGCTCCTTGAAAGAATCTTTTGGGTTCGTTGAGGCGAAAAATTTAAACATTCTGCCTCAAATAAATGATTACCTTCAATTATTGTTTATCGTTGAGCTAAATTCACTCACATTATTGTCCATCTTCCCACCTATTCAT